GAGATAAGAGGTCACTCTTGAGTAGACTTGCATAGCCAGGAGCACAGCATCCCAGGCACAGGTTATGAGGCAGATATCCCATAAGCACAGACATCTGACACAAGCAGATTGTCGTGTAGGCCTGGTCACACAAGAAGGGGTGTGGGGCTACAGGTCCCCAACAGAGAGGTAAGAGAGAAAGATAGAAAATGTAGATTATGAGCAGGAAGTGAAGGTTCTGCAATAATTCTGTTAAGAATTTTGGATTTGACTCTCTCATCAGGGTGGCAGCATGCTTGCATCCGTGGTTCAGAGAGAGCACCCTGGCCACTGGACGGGAGTGGGGCCATGGGGAGCTTGGTTCGGGGCTGTCGCAGTAGTCCTGGCAGCAAATTATTGTGGCTGGGCTTCCAAGGATCACTGTGGACAGCCAGAGGAGGGGACTGCTTTGGGATATACTCTGGAGGCAGAGTTGACAGGACTCAGTGGTAGAGCAGGTGTGGGATTGGGTGAGGAAAAGAGAACTCAAAGATGACAGCAGATGTTTGGCTTGAGCGGGGGAGATGGGACAAGGGGAAAGCAGGGTGGGGTTAGGAGGGGAGCAGGTGAGTCCCATTGTGCATGTGCTGCATCTGAGGAGCCTGTTGCCTGTGGAGTGGGTGCTGTCCTGAGGCAATGTAATATGCACTTGAATTGGGGATTCAACTACAAACAAAGTCATGAATACAGAGGTGAGGTTCCAGGGGAAGTGGGGAGAGAGCAAAGGCCCAGGATGGCACCTCAGAGCACAGAGGGAGAGAAGCCACCAGGGTGGCAGGGAGCAATGGCCAGAGAGGAAAGAAACTAGGGGCCTGTGGCTCCACAGAAGCCACTGGTGACCCAGAGAAGCCATTTCCATGCAGTGACGGCCACAGGAGCCTGCTTGCTGTGGCCTGAGAGGGCCGGTGGCAGTGCAGGCCAGTGGGGGTGGCCACTCTTCCCAGAGGTTTGGTTATGAGGAAGAGAAGAGAGAAGGAAGTAACCAAAGGATATTAGAGGTTGAGGGAGAGTTTATTATTTCTAGTTGGTCAAAGTAAAACATGGTAAAACCCAATCAAGTAACCTCAAGTAATAAAAAGGGCTACTAATGGGAGGCTGCTGTGCCCACCCCTCTGCATCCCAAGTGCCACTCCCCAGAGCCAACCTGGAAAAGTTTGTCTTTTTGCTGCTTTCCGAGGCTACTTCCATCTCTCTGAGAGAACAAGCAGAGGCCACAATGCCTTGGTGAATGACCGTGGCGGCGTGGATCACGCCCTGCTCTGAGAGATGAGGACACTGCTCATTTACCCCTCTCCCTGAGTCTCAGTTCCTCCCCTCTGCACCCTCAGACAGAGGCCTTCCATTTCTGCTGCTTTTCTTCTTCTTTTTGCTCTGATTCTAGGTTATTGTTGTTGCTTTTGTGGTTTTTTTTGCGGCTGGCCAGTCTGGAGGTCTGAACCTTTGACCTTGGCGTTATAACACCTCACTCTAACCAACTGAGCTAACCAGCCGGCCCTTGAATCTAGGTTTTATTGTACAGTTAAAAAACAGAAAGTGATGGCCCAGTGGCGCACTGGATAGTGCGCCGCTTGGGAAGCGCGGCGGCGCTCCCGCCCGAGGGTTCAGATCCCACATACGGACCGGTTCCCGCTCACTGGCTGAGCGAGGCGCGGGAGCAGCACCGAGGGTTGCGATCCCGTTGCCGGTCCCCGGTCCGGTATGGGGGCAACACTGAGGGTTGCGATCCGTTGCCGGACACGGAAAAAGACAAAAGACAAAAAAAAAAAAAAACCAGAAAGTGAAATCTTAATCCCAAGCACCTTTAGTGAAAGAAAGTGGGCAGGGACAAATTATCAAACAGATTTGACATGCAGTAAATATCTGATAACATGATTGAAGCAAAGGAACCATTTGGAATACTTCTTTTTTTTTTTTCTTTTTTGTCTTTTTTCGTGACTGGCAACGGATCGCAACCCTCAGTGTCGCGCCCGTACTGGACCGGGACCAGCCACGGGATCGCAACCCTCGGTTTTGCTCCCGCCCCTCGCTCAGCCAACGAGCGGCCGGTCTGTATGTGGGATCCGAACCCTCGGTGGGAGCGCCACCGCACTTCCCAAGCGGTGCACTATAGCAGTGCGCCACCAGGCCGGCCCATGGAATACTTCTGTGTTCCAAAAAAATTCCTTTTTTTCCTAAGCATAGACTTTGTAGTATGATATTTAAGAATCGAAGTGATTTTACACAAGCTGCACACGTGAGTAAAAGTAGTATTTGCAAAAGCCAAAAATTATGAAGAATTGCTCCCAAAGCATATTACTATTATTTTAAATTTCAATTTTAGTAGAGAAGGAGCTGGCACCCATGAAGGCCACGACCTACTACGTACTGTGCTCCCAAGCAGGGAAGCCGCTATGCTTACTCTGCCCTAAGAAACCTCCAGGGGGTCGTCGCTCCCACCTCTAGCCCCTGAGTAGCTGCCGGGTCAAGTTCCTGCTGGGGTTGGGTTGAAACTCCTGGATCCCTAGCTAGCATCTCCCAAAGAACTGGCCTTGCAGAGAACAGGTTAAAAGTCCATTTCTTAGTGCATCAGCCAGAGATATTCCCAATGTCTGTCTGTCTTTCTCCCTCTTTGTGACAGGGCTTCTTTACTCCCCACTCTCTAAGATAAGGATATTTACTCTACCCCATTTCTTAAACCACCCCCTTCCTCTTTCCCATTTCTGTCCACCACACGGTTGCTTTTGTTTTTCCATTGTTGAGGTAGATGAGAATCTTCCTGTGTATTTCCTTATTGTCTCCGCACAGCTGCAAGTACCAGCCCGCATGCAGAGGAGGCATTCACATCTGTGCTGCTGCTGACTGCTGGGCTGCTGGGTCCAGCTTTGCATTTCCTTCTCTTGGGTCCAGTGGCATGGTCACAGGGCATCTACAGGGTGGAAGGTTGCTAGCATTAAGTCTGTTACACTCTTTGTCACCTTTCTCCTCCTGGGTGACAGAGACACAAAGGATTACTCAAAGCCCATTTCTTCTGAGCAGGAAGAAGCCCCGAAAGGGTTAATTTCCCAGGAACCCTCAAGAGAGAGGCATTCCTTCTTGGAAAAATAACCCTGAACTGGGGTTCTTTCTCAGTATTTATTCTCCAGGCCAGAAAGTTACAGAAAAGCAACATAGGTGGAGTTATGGCTAAGTATTGTTTAACAATAGAGGCTGGCAACATCAGTGAAATAACAAAGGACACTCCATAGTGTAATTTGCAAAAGGTTAAGTCGATCCACCAACAAAAGCTTGTTCTTAGCAAATACTGTCTTTTCCTACAGCAGTTTCCTCAGTATTTTTACATAACAATAAGGCAACTTTAGGTTAATCTGCACCAAGGATGTCTGTCCTTGAGCCAGCAATTTTGCTGTGTTACAATTCTTTATCTACAACAGACACTTTAGCCTGGGGAAAGTTTCCTGTCTTTTGCAAGCTTAACATTTCCATATGTAATTTTAAAAAGTTAGGTTGTACCTGAAACTACAGGGCTTTGGAGGCTCGACCCTGTGAAGTACATTTGCTCTATAAATGTTAGTATACTCCACACAGTCTACTTTTTTTCAGTCTAGCAAGTTTGAGTTTTTCCAAAGCTCTTGATGATACCATGTGTTTGATTGAATGTCCTCCCTTTCCCTAGAGGCCGGGCTCTAGTTTTCAGGGGAGCCCTGAGAGAGGGAGGCCAGCAGGAGGTAGTGATGGTGGAGGCTGAGGCCTCAGCCACAAAGGAGTGGCTGTGGGAACTGGTTGAGACCCCAGGAAACAGTTGCTGTCCAGAATCTGGGATCCAAATGAGGCTGGAAATCATGATGTTGGTTTGCTCCAGCATCACCCTTTGGGCCAGGGGCAGCACCTGGTAGGATTGCCCCAGGGGTGGTGCATCTAAGGAGAAAGAGAGGCTCTGAGAGCAGCTGACTGGCCACTGTGGGCCTGGCTGGGGAGGGAGGGAGGGAAGGAGGGCAGTGAGCCAACCTGGGGGCCAGCGTGAGTACGCAGCTGAAGTGGCTCAGCTGGTGGGCCCCTGAAAGGGGGTTCATAGGTGGAGGTATTGCCAAGTTCAGAGTTTCCGTAGGAGATGGTGTAAGATGATGCTCCGTTGCACGTGACAGGCACTTAGGTTTAGAGGATATTGTTGAATGAGGAGGTCAAGGGCCACAGTGGCCAGGATTGAGCAGGCCCTGGAGGCAGTCATTGGAGAGTCTGTGGACAGCACAGTGGGGGATGAGAACATCCCTGGAGCTGCTGCTTCCTTCCAGTGAGGGGGTGACGGAGGGAGGGTAGTCCCCAACATGTGAGCCCCAGGGAGAAGGGCCTGTTTCACTGAGGTTTGGAGAGTGCTGAGGACAAGCTGACACTGCCCCCACCCTGGCCCTGAGAATGGAGACTGATGGGGAGAGGCCCTTTCTCTGCAGGAGATGGCGTCTACCAGAAAGGGATGGACTTCATTTTGGAGAAGCTCAACCATGGGGACTGGGTGCACATCTTCCCAGAAGGTCAGCGGGGCTGCCCTGGTTGCCCGGGTTGCCCCTCCCCCCCAGGGTGGGCGGGACAGGTTCCGAGCCTCGCCTCTCCTCTCTCACCAGGGAAAGTGAACATGAGTTCCGAGTTCCTGCGCTTCAAGTGGGGTAAGGGCTGCTGGCATGGCCGTCCTCCCTGCCCAGAGATGGCCCTGGGGGCCCCTGGCTCCCACCCCCTCTGACTGGGTTGCACTGTGGCAGAGGGCTGTGTTGGTAGCAGCAGGAAGGGGACAGGTGCTACGACAGGTGCTTGCCTCGTGCATGGGCTTTAACTGAGGGAGGGCTGGGGTGGCACTAACCACAGGCTGGCACAGAAGTTTGGCCCAGCTCATGCCAACGTTTCTGCCTCTCCCCCTGGGCAGGAATTGGGCGCCTGATTGCCGAGTGTCACCTCAACCCCATCATTGTGCCGCTGTGGCACATCGGTGAGCCTGGGGATGGCACAGGAGGAGGCTTCCCTAGATGGTGTTTGGGGGTTCCACTGGGTGGCTGAGAGAGGTGCCTGGGGGGAAGGGACCTGGATTCTTTCCGGTCCCAGGCTGCCCTGCTCCCCCCACATCCAGCCTTCTGTCCACTGTGCTGCAGGAATGAATGATGTCCTTCCTAACAGCCCGCCCTACTTCCCCCGCTTTGGACAGGTGGGTAGGGGTAGCTGACCTTTATCTGTTTGTCTGTCATCTGCCATGTGTCTCCCACTCATCACTATGGAGGCCAGATACAGGAGGAGCTGAGCTTGAGGCTGCAGCAGGGGGACTGAGTGGAACATAGGGATTTCCTGGTATTAAGGCCATTAGAATGAGAGCAGAGGAAGTCAGGCTGGGGCAGGGTTGGTCCCTGGGGTCAGGACAGGACAGGTCTCTACAGTACGGATCCAGGACCATGATGGCCCTTGGATGCCACTGAGCCTGAATGCCTGGTTTTAAAGAGGGAGAGTGGCCCCAAGAGAGAGCACGCAGCATGTCGGGCAGGACTTGGCTCTGGCTCCCTGGGCTGCTTGGGCTGGGACTGTGGGCATCCCCTGTTCCTTGTCACCCTCAGTGGCCTGCCTCCCCATAGAAAATCACCGTGCTGATCGGGAAGCCCTTCAGTGCCCTGCCTGTGCTCGAGCGGCTCCGGGCTGAAAACAAGTCAGCCGTGAGTTTCCTCCTAGGCTCCCTGTGGCTGTCCTTGGGCCTCCGCGGCAGGGGACCAGGAGGGCGCCTCCCCCCTCCTAGCCCTCTCAGCCTCCCAGGGCACCTTGTTCAAGCCCCCTGAGAGGTGCAGGTCAGCCCTGTCCTTTCTGTCAGGTGGAGATGCGCAAAGCCCTGACCGACTTCATTCAGGATGAATTCCAGCGCCTGAAGACCCAGGCGGAGCAGCTCCACAGCCACCTCCAGCCCGGGAGATAGGCTCTGCCTTGCTGGCTCCAGGAAGCACTGGGTCCTCCAAGGCCTGCGGAAAGGGCAGCGCTGGGACCCCAACCCCAGCCCGGTGGGCTCTCGGTGCTGTCTTTTGGACTCCTGCCCCGCATCCTGGGGAGGGGGAATGGACTGATGCTTTCAGCTCAGCTGTGGTTTCAAGACAGATGTGTTCCTAACTGTCTCGTACCCGGTGAGCATCCCAGCGCCTCTGTGCTCTTCAGTTAGAGGAAGTGCCTCAGCAGCTCCTCCCACTTGGCCAAGAAGGGAGGAAGGAGCTTAGGCAGAGGCCTCCTTCCTCTTGCCTTCAGATGTTCTCTCCCTGGAGCTAGTGTCGGGAGGGAGCAGAGCAGGCAGGTGAACAAATAATTGGGTGGGGGAGCAGGTGGCCCAGTGGAGCTGCAGAGACAGGCCCCTAACACCTCTTAGCCTGGGCATCCCCCACCTGCCCTTGCCCATCTGGGAGCTGCTCACTACCTCCTCAGGGATGGCGGTTGGCAACGTCTTCTTTCTGCCCAAGTTTCCCCTGCCTCCGCAGGGCCTAGCCCCGGACAGGGTCTGGCAGGAAGAGCAGCCCCTTGCCAGAAGTCAAGGACAGTTGAAGGGAGCCTGCAGTGAGGGCCTGAGATCTGGCCACTCGCCCCATGCTGGGCCCACCAACTTTTCCATCCTTTCTACCTCTTGGCATCCCTCTCATCCTGGGGACTGGGTTTTCATGATTTTTAAACAATAAAGCATCCATGTTGTGTGTTGTACCTCCGGCCGGCCTCTCTGGGGTGGGGAATGGGAGGTGACCCTCGGCACATTGAGAGCACTTGAGCAGACGGGCATTGAGCTCTTACTGTGCATGGGTCACTTAAGGCCTCAGTTATTGTCTGTAATCCCCATACCAACCTTGCAAAAGTACAGGTTCGTCTCATTTTGCAAAGGAGGAACAGTGAGGCTAATGGACTTGCTTCAAAACCCCCCTGAGTGTGAAGAACCTATTTGATCCTACCTGGGCTGGTTCACAAGGGGGGTGGTCTGAAGGGCCCAGCAAGCAGCTGGCTGTGACCAGTGCTTGCTGTGATCAGGAGGCGGGAAGGCTGATGCCTGGATTGAGCTGGGGCCCCTGGGTGGGAACAAAAGCAGATCCAGGGTGGCGGTGCTCCTGGGCTCCCAGCAGCGAAAGCAAATCCTCTCTAGCGAAAGTCATGCTCAGTTTAGCCCCTCAGTTGGTCTGAAGATCAAGATCAAGCAAAAAGACCTCACAAAGATCACCAAACATATAAAGAGATGAATCACTGTACTTACATCAGCAGAAACAAGGACAGGTTGAAACCACGGGTAATTCGAATATTGACTGGATCAGACACAATATTAAAAATACTGTAATAGGGGCCGAGCCCATGGCACACTCGGGAGAGTGCGGCGCTGGGAGCGCAGCAGCGCTCCCGCAGCGGGTTTGGATCCTATATAGGGATGACCGATGCGCTCACAGTGCTCACTGGCTGAGCGTGGTGCGGCCGGTCTCAAAAGGGACAAAAAAGGCCGGCCCGTGGCTCACTCGGGAGAGTGTGGTGCTGACAACACCAAGGCCTCAGGTTCGGATCCCATATAGGGATGGCCGGTTCGCTCACTGGGAGAGCGTGGTGCTGACAACACCAAGCCAAGGGTTAAGATCCCCTTACCGGTCATCTTTTAAAAAAAAAAAAAAAAAAA